ATATGATATCGCCGAATAAAATTAGAACTTTTATTCTAAAATAATAAACCACCAGTTTGTATCGAAGTTTATAGAAATCAATTGAAAGACAGCGAAGTTATTATTTTTTTATATATTATCCCGATTGTTCTAATGGGAGCTGTATCATATAGTAGTCCAATCCAATCCAATCGTTTTGACTACTACTAATAGTTAATTTGCGTAGAAGCGAGTGGACAAACAGACGGATATGGCTAAACTTTCCTAGAGATGCTTCCAATAGAACATTTAATTTTTCATATCTTCCTTGTTTTGCTAAGATGTAAGCATTTATTGCAAAAAATCTGATTTCATATCAATTTAAAAATAGGAATAGTTTTAATTTTAATTTTTTAAAAATAACTTATATTTTTAAAATATTTAGTGAAAATTTTTCTTGCCTTAACCAGAAACTATATTTTATACCATTTTCCTCACCAATAAATGGTGCACACTTTTAGGAGTAAATTCTTGCCAGGGCAACGTTAACTGATCTTAGCTGAGAAAAGTTTAACAAAAATCGGTTTGAACAATTTTGAATAATTTAAAAATAATTTAAAAACAAGAAAGAAAGCAAACTTCGGCAAGCCGAAGTTCATATACCCTTGCAGCTATTGCAAGAATTAAACATTTTTGAAAACATTAAAATTATGATTTACTTGCGTATATGTTTAAAAACATTGAAGCTATGACGATTTGCAGCTTAATTATTTGATAGTTATTTTATATATTTTTATTATTTCTATGGGAGCTATATGATATAGTCGTCCGATTTTGATCAAATTTAAACCATAATTCTGAAATATTTAACCATTGCTATATGTCGAAGAACTAAACAAAAAATTAAAAAAACAGCAAAGTTATAATTTTTATACCCTTGCAGAGGGTATTATAATTTCAGTCAGAAGTTTGCAACGCAGTGAAGGAGACGTTTCCAACCCTATAAAGTATATATATTCTTGATCAGCATCACTAGTAGAGTCGATCTAGCCATGTCCGTCTGTCCGTCCGTCTGTCCGTCTGTCCGTCTGTCCGTCCGTCTGTCCGTCTGTCCGTCTGTCCGTCTGTCCGTCCGTTTATATGCAAACTAGTCTCTCAGTTTTAAAGCTATCTGCATGAAACTTTCCCAAAAGTTGTCTTTCTATTGCAGGTAGTATATAAGTCGGAACGAGCCGGATCGGACGACTATAGCATATAGCTCCCATAGGAACAATCGGAAAAATAATTGAAAAACAAGAAAGAAAGCAAACTTCGGCAAGCCGAAGTTCATATACCCTTGCAGCTATCGCAAGAATTAAATATTTTTGAAAACATTAAAATTATGATTTACTTGCGTATATGTTTAAAAACATTGAAGCTATGACGATTTGCAGCTTAATTATTTGATTGTTCTTTTATATATTTATACCCTTGCAGAGGGTATTATAATTTCAGTCAGAAGTTTGCAACGCAGTGAAGGAGACGTTTCCAACCCTATAAAGTATATATATTCTTGATCAGCATCACTAGTAGAGTCGATCTAGCCATGTCCGTCTGTCCGTCCGTCTGTCCGTCTGTCCGTCCGTCTGTCCGTCTGTCCGTCTGTCCGTCTGTCCGTCCGTTTATATGCAAACTAGTCTCTCAGTTTTAAAGCTATCTGCATGAAACTTTCCCAAAAGTTGTCTTTCTATTGCAGGTAGTATATAAGTCGGAACGAGCCGGATCGGACGACTATAGCATATAGCTCCCATAGGAACAATCGGAAAAATAATTGAAAAACAAGAAAGAAAGCAAACTTCGGCAAGCCGAAGTTCATATACCCTTGCAGCTATCGCAAGAATTAAATATTTTTGAAAACATTAAAATTATGATTTACTTGCGTATATGTTTAAAAACATTGAAGCTATGACGATTTGCAGCTTAATTATTTGATTGTTCTTTTATATATTTTTATTATTTGTATGGGAGCTATATGATATAGTCGTCCGATTTTGATGAAATTTAAACCATAATTCTGAAATATTTAACCATTGCTATATGTCGAAGAACTAAACAAAAAATTAAAAAACAGCAAAGTTATAATTTTTTTCAATTATTTTTCCGATTGTTCCTATGGGAGCTATATGCTATAGTCGTCCGATTTTGATGAAATTTTAACCATAATTCTGAAATATTTAACCATTGCTTTATGTCGAAGAACAAAACTAAAAATTAAAAAACAGCAAAGTTATAATTTTTTTTCAATTATTTTTCCGATTGTTCCTATGGGAGCTATATGCTATAGTCGTCCGATCCGGCTCGTTCCGACTTATATACTACCTGCAATAGAAAGACAACTTTTGGGAAAGTTTCATGCAGATAGCTTTAATGTTTTCAAAAATATTTAATTCTTGCGTTAGCTGCAAGGGTATATGAACTTCGGCTTGCCGAAGTTTGCTTTCTTTCTTGTTTTATTATTTGTATGGGAGCTATATGATATAGTCGTCCGATTTTGATGAAATTTAAACCATAATTCTGAAATATTTAACCATTGCTATATGTCGAAGAACTAAACAAAAAATTAAAAAACAGCAAAGTTATAATTTTTTTCAATTATTTTTCCGATTGTTCCTATGGGAGCTATATGCTATAGTCGTCCGATTTTGATGAAATTTTAACCATAATTCTGAAATATTTAACCATTGCTTTATGTCGAAGAACAAAACTAAAAATTAAAAAACAGCAAAGTTATAATTTTTTTTCAATTATTTTTCCGATTGTTCCTATGGGAGCTATATGCTATAGTCGTCCGATCCGGCTCGTTCCGACTTATATACTACCTGCAATAGAAAGACAACTTTTGGGAAAGTTTCATGCAGATAGCTTTAATGTTTTCAAAAATATTTAATTCTTGCGATAGCTGCAAGGGTATATGAACTTCGGCTTGCCGAAGTTTGCTTTCTTTCTTGTTTTTCAATTATTTTTCCGATTGTTCCTATGGGAGCTATATGCTATAGTCGTCCGATCCGGCTCGATCCGACTTATATACTACCTGCAATAGAAAGACAACTTTTGGGAAAGTTTCATGCAGATAGCTTTAAAACTGAGAGACTAGTTTGCATATAAACGGACGGACAGACGGACAGACGGACGGACAGACGGATAGACGGACGGACAGACGGACATGGCTAGATCGACTCTACTAGTGATGCTGATCAAGAATATATATACTTTATAGGGTTGGAAACGTCTCCTTCACTGCGTTGCAAACTTCTGACTGAAATTATAATACCCTCTGCAAGGGTATAAAAATTATACCTTTGCTGTTTTTTAATTTTTAGTTTTGTTCTTCGACATAAAGCAATGGTTAAATATTTCAGAATTATGGTTAAAATTTCATCAAAATCGGACGACTATAGCATATAGCTCCCATAGGAACAATCGGAAAAATAATTGAAAAAAAATTATAACTTTGCTGTTTTTTAATTTTTTGTTTAGTTCTTCGACATATAGCAATGGTTAAATATTTCAGAGTTATGGTTTAAATTTCATCAAAATCGGACGACTATATCATATAGCTCCCATACAAATAATAAAAATATATAAAAGAACAATCAAATAATTAAGCTGCAAATCGTCATAGCTTCAATGTTTTTAAACATATACGCAAGTAAATCATAATTTTAATGTTTTCAAAAATATTTAATTCTTGCGATAGCTGCAAGGGTATATGAACTTCGGCTTGCCGAAGTTTGCTTTCTTTCTTGTTTTCATTTATTTTTCCGATTGTTCCTATGGGAGCTATATGCTATAGTCGTCCGATTTTGATGAAATTTAAACCGTAAATCAGAAATATTTAACCATTAATAAATGTCGAGGAACTAATCAAAAAATTAGAAAACAGCAAAGTTATAATTTTTTTTCATTTATTTCTCCGATTGTTCCTATGGGAGCTATATGCTATAGTCATCCGATCCGGCTCGTTCCGACTTATATACTACCTGCAATAGAAAAACAACTTTTGGGAAAGTTTCATGCAGATAGCTTTAAAATTGAGAGACTAGTTTGCATATAAACGGACGGACAGACGGACAGACTGACAGACTGACAGACTGACAGACTGACAGACTGACAGACTGACAGACTGACAGACTGATAGACTAACAGACTGACAGACTGACAGACTGACAGACTGACAGACTGACAGACTGACAGACTGACAGACTGACAGACTGACAGACTGACAGACTGACAGACTGACAGACTGACAGACTGACAGACTGACAGACGGACAGACGGACAGACGGACGGACAGACGGACATGGCTAGATCGACTCTACTAGTGATGCTGATCAAGAATATATATACTTTATAGGGTCGGTAACGTCTCCTTCACTGCGTTGCAAACTTCTGACTGAAATTATAATACCCTCTGCAAGGGTATAATAAAAAAGGTATTTTATTTAGACTTATTATGTTAAGGCACCGTGATTAGCACTTGACAATACCTTTTTAATGACACTTAAAACACTTAGAACAAACTTTTTTTGTAACGACCTGCTCAACCCATGAAAAATTATTCCAGAATTCTAAAACAACCGAAAAACTTGTATATTAAAAAAAAAGTATTTTTTGTATTACTTTTGTACGGAGCATCGGATCCAAACAAATTGGATGCGATTCGACTCGTATTTTTAACAAAAATAAACTGTGCAAAAAAAGTTAACCCGTGTTCAAGAACTCCACTTAAAAAAATTAGTTTTTAGTCACCGCCCTTTTTTTTCTTATAAAATGGTTATATATAGTTTCGGATTCCTACACTGCATGGGTATCAAAACTTCGGTATGCCGTAGTTAGCTTCCGTTCTTTTTTTCTTAAATAATAAATGAAATATTTATTTTAACACATCGAACGATTGTAGCATGCAATAGTTTTTTCTGCTGGTCGCGCGATGGGGGATTAAGGATCTCAAATTAATTTTATTTTATTATTAAAACAAACTAATTTAATTATTTTTATTTTAGATTTGTTAATATGAATAGTACGCGAGTAAGTAACATAATTGCTCGCTTGAAAGTGAACACGAGCTTGGACACTATTCTTTTATTTAATGAAGACTCAAGAAGCTACACAGCAAGTATTTGTATGCCGGACATCCCTATTCGCACACTAATAGATGTGGTTTCTACCAATCAATTCTTGGTTTTACCTAGACTATCATCACAGGCCATGTTAGAAAGTAAGTATTTTTAAAAATAATCAAGAAATGAGCTTATGAAAAAAATTACGGAAACTGAAACGAAAAACTCGTTGGTCCCAATGCACATTATTCTAAAACTCATCAGTATATCTTAAATTAATATTGTTAATGGCTGATATTCCTCGCTAGCTTTAGTTTGTAAGTTTAAGCTTACAGCTTGTAAATAAATACATTTTGTCAATTTTTTTTTATTACAGGTAGTATATAAGTCGAAAAAGGTCAATTGGAACGACTATATCATATGTCTGTCATATAAACAATCTAATCTGACATATAAACAATCTAAAAATTAACTCAACAAGCGAAGTTCTTTGAGAAAAATGTAATTTTTAAAATCGACTTCCTATGGCAGCTATATAACATAGTCGCCCGATTTTCATTAAATAAAATCTAATTGACTATATAAATTTAGAGATTTCGGAATTAATTTTATTGTCTAAGGTGCGCGGTGTGATTCTGACTTTATAAGAAAAGCTTAAATTAAGAAATTTCGGAATTTATTTAATTATCTAAGTTGCGTTGGGTATGACCGTTGCGGTTTATTTCCAAAATTGAAATAACGAATTGTTTGACAATTAAAATCAAATCATTAAAAAATAAATCAACCAGAGATCAATAAACATAACATTTAAAACAAGTGTCCTAAAAGCCCGCTCCCCTCAAAAGCAATCGTCGGTAGAGTATGCAAACACCATCCGCTCGCAAAACAACGACAATAGCTAATTTAGCTTGAAGTTTTCTCAACCACTGAAGAGCAGTCGGTGTTTCAAGTGACACGACTGCGATATGCAATGTTTCCATCTCGGTGGACTGATTTCTATTAATTCGAATACATACATATATGTAAAACATTTTATTGCTACCACTGATTTTAATTTTTAAACAAAAATAAAATGTATCCTGAAATATTATAAAATATAACATATATTAATATTTTTATCATAGCCCAATAGTAAATAAGCCCATATTTTGAGGGTACCAAGTTTGAAAAGTAGCAAAAGACAAAATATTCTTGATGCGTCGAAATGAAATAAACGCACACAAGCACGCGTGTATGAGAATGCATGATCACGCATACATACAAATATTTGTGTCCAAATTCGTTGTATGAAATGACCAGTTATTATCTCAACATTCCGCCGGTAAATGTATTTTATACGAATTTTGTAAGTTTTCAAAAACAGTGATTTTTGGGCTGTTAGCGTATGTTAAGTGCTCTTTGCGGACGATTTGCCGGCGGAGCGGATTTCTCGTGTTAAATAATTATTTATTATTATTAAATATTTATTTTTATTAATATTATTTATTTTTTAAATAATCTAATAAAAAAATTCAACGAGTAAAAACGAAAACGACCAAAGATAACTTGAAATAGCGGCAGCGGAGTCGGTGTGCGTGTGTAGGTGTACGCGGCTAGCGTCTCTTCCTAGACAAATGCTAACGGAGAATGATACACTGACCGATAACTAAGGGCAACGAATATATAAGCCTAATGCCGAAAGGCATTCTTGCGCGCAAAAATTATGAAAAGCGCGGGAAAAAGCTAAGACAAACGTCGGTGAGAATTTTTGCCGCTAATTTTTGAGAACTACACTTTTCACCATTTGCACTTTTTTATTTATACCCTAATTTGGTGCTCACTACGACGAAAATTGGGGGAATTAAGTTTGCACTAATTGGGTCGACGACGAGTATTTTATTTGCGTGTTTATGAGCCAAAGCGATTCACATCTAATCCGAAATATATTATGTTTATTGCGAATTTTGATTATTAGTACATGCAAATTTGTATTTCTTGGCTAGAATGCTCACTATCTACCGATTTTTACACGAATGCAAAAAGTTGAAAGTTGGGCCAAAAGACAACAAAACGCCACAGATTAACTTTCAACTTTTAGCACATGGTTGGCCGACTCGATAATTGCAACTTCCTTTTTACATCCATGTTCCAGCGGCAGCATCAAATGAAAGTTGCAGCGGCGGAAGAAACGTCTTGGGCAACAACCAAAGGAACGGCAGAATTTTTCCAGCGACTAAATTTTTTTCGGAATTGAATTTTGTATCCGAACCGACACGAATAAATTGCTTTTGTATGTTTGTTGGTAATTGTTCTAGTTTATTCACCGAAAAAAATTGGTAAACATATCGCGAACTCTACTGCGATCACGTCGGGGTCACCATGAAAATTTAATACTATTTTGTATTAACAAACGGGAAACTTGTGACTACAGTAGGATTCGAGATAATTTATTTGCGATAACTTGTGTAAAACTTGTGCGAAAATACGACGACAAAAAGGAGTGGTTACGATGAAAGTCAAATGATCACTAAATTTAAAATTCTAATAATTTTACTTAGAGCCTAACTTAAAATGGCTAAAATGGCGAGAGATGATGCGAATGTGCAAGAGCGAACGGACGAAAGCTTTATTATGACTAGTGACTTCAAATAAAAGCGCCAAGTTCGCAAACATCTTCTTTGGAAGACATTTTGACATTGAAATTATTAGAGCATTCGTTACTGGCCTATCGATTGGTGAAAACTATTCCGCAGGGAATAGTTTATACTGCTGACGTACCGGTCTCATTCCCGTTTATCTGAATGAATATTGTTTCGCATTGATAGATTGGTTGACTTGCACGTGAGATTCCATACAAAGAAGAGAAGATAGTGGAACAGAACTCGTGGCTTTTAAATTGAGTGCCATTGTCGCTCATTAAAGTCTTCGGCACCCTAACACAATTAAAATGTCATCTCTAAGATTTTGTAAAATCAACCTTTATGTAAATTTCTTTACAGGCTTTAAAATGGTAAACTTTCCCTGTTAAGAGCATGGGAAAGGGTCAACATATTGTTATTGAAAAGGTCTATGCGTAACAACTAGGGAACCCATTGCTGGTTTTAAGAGTCAAGTCGGATTTTTGAGGTCTAACATAGCTACAATATCCTGTACTGATCAGAATAAATGCCTTTGAATATGTTATAATGTTTTGGAAATTGCACAATAGGCAACTACATGTTGACAGTGGGGGATTCTATAACGGTTTCTCGAAGACGAACAGGATCAAAAAACTGCCACTTTGCTTCCATGTCTCTATGACTTGATAATCTCGAAGCTTCACATATTCCTTTCCTAAGAAAGCTGGAGAGTCCAACTCGAATCTAGGAAGGATATCAGTTGGGGCCAAGATAGTGGCTTCTTTTTCGTGAGCTTCAAAAGTGCATCTGCCTCTCTAGCTTGCAATTCTTTACGGTGTTATGTATACAATTTGAAACCCTGTAGCTTGAATATTTCTGATTCATTAACCACTTGGGACTAACGTGATGTGTGACTATTCGAAATTTCTTTATCGCTAAAACCAATGCCAAACATTCTAACTCGGTCACTGATTAGTTGGGCTGCGCATGGTTTAGCCTTTTTGACATTTTGGCTATTGGCGGCTCGTTTCCATCTCTATTTGCCTTAGTCAGAACTGCGCCAATACCGTAGCAAGATGCTGTGATTATGAAAGGCAGATCGTAGTTAGGGTGTTGCAAAAAAGGGTGCTAAACACAGTTTAGTTTTAATCTCCTCAAAAGATTCATTCCATTCAAAAATTTTTCCTTTCAACCGATCAACCGGCTCGTACCTTATTTAGATTGACTTGCAGAGTATCTTCGCTAACCATGTGACCTAGGTACCCAACCTTTTTTAAGCCAAACTGTCTTTTTCCTATGCTAATGATTAATCCTGCCTGGCGTAAGCGCGTGGCCACTTCAAATAAATAGCTTAAAAGATCCTCGTAAGTAGACAAAATTACCAGCAGGTCATGTAGGTAGAAAAACAAAGACACACACAAAAAAATTCGGGAGAAGTTACCCTGCAGTTCCAATCCCTAAAGATTCCCTAAGTAATCCCCCGGGCGCCGCCAAGAATTCCTTAGGAATCTTCAGGAAAATCTTCAGGAATTCCTGGGGAAAAGTCAAGTCATTCCCTCCGGAATCCTTACGGAAATTATAGTAAAAAACATCAGAAATTCAATTTATAAACATGTATTAAAATTAATGTTTTAACATTTATTTATGTTTGTTTTTTGTTTTTGATTTTTTTTGCTCAAGATAAGGCGTGCGCACTTTTTCGGCAACTGGCCTCCCAACGCACATATGCTGTCTGTAAATAAAACAGATATGTATATTAGAATAAAATATAAATCTGAAAAATTTGGTCAATTATACATACCGACTATAACGGAAAAAAATCCTGGAAAGCCCTTAAGGGTCTTTTTTCCATTCACGCCGTCTATATTAAAGTCGCAAAGACTCTGCCAAAACTCCTTTAATAGACTTAGGCAAATTATTTCGCCTAAAAAGTGCGGTGATGGTCTCAATCTGTAGAAAAAACACAGAATTAATTGCACACTCATCTTCTTCATAAATATTTTACTTACATAGGCGGTTTTAGTAGACGAGCATATTTTAACTTCTAACGCCACCAGCTCCTCCTCTGCATCCTTAGACTTTCCCTTAAGGAAAATCTGCAGCAGTGCCGTCAGCTTTGCAATCTGCTGGGTGCACTCAGCTAACTGGTTCGTATTAGCCTCTAGTCTTCGTATTGGCAACCAATTTTCCCTGCAAGTCTCGAACATAGATCTTCGATCTGGTCCTTCGGTGGGTTTCCTGCTAAGGGATCCCCGCTGTTTTGTGGGGTTTCCGTGACAAAGTCGTCTTCTAAGAAATACAAATTGTATTTATATAAAAATTGAATAAGTTAGATTTTATTTGGTTTACTTACCATCAAAAAAGAAAATGAGCTTTTGAATTTTATTTGGGGTTGCCATCTTCCTAAATGCCTTGATAAATGCTTAAATACCTTAAACGCCGTCGTTAAAGGTATGCCCGATTCGTATTGAAAAATGCGCCTACGGACTAAACATCTCCGGAAAAAATGCAAAATAAAATGAACAAAGGGAGAATGATGTCCCTACGAAAAATGCAAAAAAAGATACTTACACTAATTCGCCCCTATATATTCAATTTATTTATTTATTTCGTTTAAGATCAGACTTGGTAGAAAAATAATTAAGTCGCATGTTAGTTGGAAGTTTATTGCACTCACACATGGCTCTATAAAGTGGCTCGTTTTGGGAGTAATTAGTCCTGCGTAACTCAACAATAAAAGGAGCAAAATCTCGGAGGTGCCTAGCAGGAGCATTTAAGCCTACTTTTGAAAGAAGTTCTGGACAGTCAATGATTCCGGCCACCAGGTCGGCGATGAAACAGATGGAGATGATTGTTCTGCGATTGGCAAGTGTGGGAAGGTGAACGAGGAGACACTACTGCTGATAAGGAGGGAAGGGTTCAGAAATTCTTAAGGGTAAGAGAGCGAATTTTAGAAAGTTTTTCTGTAGCCTTTCTATTCTATTTATGTGGATATTGGCTGAGGGATTCTAGATAAAAGCCGCGTACTCTATTTTAGAGTGCACAAATGTTGAATAGAGCGCAATCCTCGTATAGGGATCCATAAAAAGCGCTGAGTTCCGCTTTACAACCCCAAACATAGCGTACGCTTTAGGCATGATATAATCAAAGTGTGCTGAGAAATTAAATTTGGAATCAAACATTACACCCAGATCTAAGCATTCTTGTTGAACATTTAAGGGCTGCCCTGCAATACTGTATGTGGTTATAAGGTTGTTTACGCATTTACTGTAGCTAATATAAAAGCATTTATTAATGTTTAGCGGAAGTAAATTTCGGCGGCACCATGAACTCAAGAAATCTAAGTCCAACTGCAGTGATAGTGAGTTTGCTGGAGTTTCGACTTCTCTAAAAATTTTTAAATCGTCTGCAAAGAGGAGACATTCTGAAGAGATATTGATTTGTACATCATTTATAAAAATAATGAAAAGCAGGGGTCCCAAAGCACTTCCGAAAATGTTCCATTAATGTTCGCTTTGTAGCTACGATGGTTTAGATAAGATCTTGTCCAGTTTAACATATCTGAGTGTATGCCCAAATGTGCAAGTTTTGCCAACAAGGCACAGTGACAAACTTTATCAGAAACTTTAGCGAAATCCGTGTATACGGTATCAACTTGGCAGTGCTTATTAAAGGCTTGATTGCAATAGTTGCTGAAAACTGCTAGGTTTGTCGTTGTTGACCGACCTGATACAAAACCATGTTGACAGTTGCTTATGTATCTTTTTAGAAGAAACGAAAGTTTGTAGGCAACAATACGCTCAAAAAGCTTAGAAATATTATTATTATTTTAGCAATAGGGCGATAATTGGCAATGTTATTCTTGGGCCCGGATTTTAGAATTGGAGTCACGTATGCAACCTTCCATCTATCAGCAAAGTGTCCACTCAAAAGTGATAGATTGAAAATAATTTTCAAGGGTATACATAGCTTTTCAATGCAACATTTGAGGAAATCCCAGGATGCAATCCCATCGCAATCTGGGTTGTAAGAATCGTCAAAGTCTTGAACAGCCGAGTGAATATTCTCGTCTTCAACAGTCAAAGAACCTATGTTTACCAATCTTGTAATTGAATCAAGGGTTGGAGAATCATGTCAATCTTCTGCTCGTTCAAAATTAGCTTTAAAAAAGAAGCAAACAGATTTGAAGTTTCTATATCAGAATGAGAAGGTAAATTTCCAATGTACATAGCAGAGGGAACTGAAGAAACGTTTTTTTTGGATCTGACAAACCTCTAAAAAGATTTGGGGTTGAGTTTCAGTCCGCTCTCGACGTCTGCTATGTACTGATGGTAAAGAAATTTATTTAAAAACTCAAATTCACGTTTGTGTTGCAAGTGCCTATTCCAATCACTCGGATCACGCGATACTAAGATTTTTTTATTTTTTTATTGCGAAGATTTTTCAGCTTTTTAGGCCTTTTGTTTACCAAGGCAGCTTGAATGAATTTTGCACTTTTTCTTGTGCATTATTTTTAATTATGTTTAAAAGAACTTCTGAAAAGTGATCATAGCACAACTTCAAACTTATATCATAGATATTGGTCACGTTCTCCAGATGGGCCTTGCAAAGAGAATAGGTACTTTTCGGCGGTATATAAGACGCCACATAAGTAGCGTATTCATTGGTCCAATAAGGGTGTCTTCATTGAGAAGACCAATAGATAAACATCTCAAGCTGTGACAAACAGCCACAATAACGCCTCCTCCTCTAGCGCATTGTGTTTTTGTACCATCTCTGTCCTTGCGATAGACTTGATACAAGTTGAAATCGAAGTACTCGTTAAAGTTCATGTTGAGCCAGGTTTCAACTAGGACTGTGACATCAAAGTTGCCTTGGGATGTAGCAAGATATACTTGTTCCGCTTTTGTCCGCATTCCAGAGATATTTTGGAAATAGATTTTAAGTGGGGATGTGCTTAAAATGGAATGAATGTAAATCCTCGAGGTCGCCACCAGCTGATTCGTGTTGTTCATGCTAATGCATTCCAATGCATGCGGAGTAACAGCACCTACCGATCCTAATGTTTTAATTCCGCTGATCGCCCTTAGTAACGACGTAACTTTGATCCATTGCTTATCTTCAGAATTATATTAGATTTCTCGAAAAAAGAGAAGCCAGAATTTAAGAGGGATGGCTCTAAACTGAAAGCGGCCACTTTTAAGAGAGCAACTTTAAGAGAACATAGCGATAAAAGCGGGCGATCCATCAGCTGAACAGAAAGTTTAGCAGAGAGCTCAACTCCCAAACGTACTTTCAAAAACTTATCAAATCCAGAACAGCTATACAGCTGGCGGTAAAAATGCCAGATAGTGTTGTATTTGTAGCATCATTGCAGAGAGCTCGAATCCGGAGAGCGCACAAAGAGCATTGACATTAAGACTATGACATAGGAGAGCCTCGCTCAAAGCGGACGTTGGAAGCTGAAGCCGAGAATTTTGTGGGGCTGTCGTGAGCGTGTGCAAATAATAGAGCACGTCTCGGAAGAGCACGCAATCCGTAATAGGTGGAACCCGATGTTTGGCGAGGGTCGAAGAAAACGAACAACGAGAACTCCAGCTGGTGTTGTTGGATATTTGTCGGTGGATAGAGCGCAAAGAATTTAAAATTTGGGAGAATAAAGGCAATAGGCAAGCCCAGTCTTTGTTGTTGCGAGCACAAACCCCGTGGATGAGGAAGAAGATCGCCAAAATGCCCCGCAACGGTGATGACGCCAGTGGCGCCTATTCCTGGGGGTTTTTTGGATCTGAATTGGGTGGTGATGAAATAGGAGTATGATTAGTGTGCAACTCAAAAATTGTTTTCTCAACAATTGGTCTGCTCCTGTCGATGAATCTGCTGACTTTTACTGCTTCTGGCAAAAAATTCATCGCAAAACACAGATTGATACTATTTTTCAGGCACTCCCAGCTTAAAATTGATGAACTTCAATGCTGATATATCTGCATCTTTTTTAATTAAAGGTTTGCAAATTATATGGTCAGTTTTAATGCACAACTTATTAGCAACAAATTCGCACAACGCCTCTGGTTTGGTGCTTACTGCAAATTTGCCAATATGCAGAAATTTGTTGCTTGGTAGAACTTCGAATTGGTCACAACTAGGGGCTAAACCAACAATGCGTCCCTATGATTATTTTTCTGATTCCAGAATAGTTTGCTTAGCATGATGGGATGATGCCTGGCTCGCTTGATGGGAAGTAGAAGGAGTTTCACCAATTTTTTGCGCTGACTGACATTATTGTTGCCAATAGCAGGAACGGGAAAAGTATTATTAAACTTTGAATTTAAGTCAATGTATAGATTTCTTAGCTACCGAATCTGTTCCATTAGTTCTCCGATTTTAGAGTGAGAATCGTTACTCACAACACAACCGTCGCATTGCCAGAGAAGGTTCGGCATATTAATAAGTAATTTAATTGCCTCTTCGGGCAAATCAACACAGGCTATGTGAAATGTGCGGCGACAGACCGATGAACAACGGATCGCCTCGAAGCTACGTAGCTGCATAGCATTACCTCGGAATTGCATTCGGTGCAAAGAGACATAGTGAAAAACAACCGATCACAATGAAAGCTGGCTGATGACTGAAACCATCTCTAATCATCTCTGTAACACTAAATCTTTCTAAATCGAGTGCCATATTCCCGCTTGCTAAGCAAATACCTAGAGATAAAGAGGAGACAGGCGCATCAAAAAGCTGCGAATGTCTAAAAATCTCCTACCAATTTTCCTCTTCAAACGAACCTACCTCGATTGGGATGTGTTCTCCTACATAACAACAACTATCTGGCCTTTTATTCCCAAGTATCCCTTCAATTTCAAAACTCTACCTACTAACTTAATACAATCATCTTCCACCCGAATGTGACTATCCTCAACAATCTTTCTATAAATTTGTTGTAAAATTTGCGAAGGCTTCCGGACAAACCTCTTAAGAGTTTGTAAATAGTTCTTGAAGGAGTAAGAAGAGTCTGAAACCGGATCTCCGATTTGCTTACTTTTACATGAAGTAAGCCATGAACATTGTGTGAAACACTACTTTCTCCATAAATAATGGGAAAATTCTTTACGAATAAATCCAACATAAGTTGGGCATTATTTATGTTTGACTCTCGTAAGTGAAAGTGCAGCAGCCTGTCAGAACAGTGCAACAAAAGAAATAGGTTATACTGGTCATCATTAATTGTATCTTTAAGAGCTACAATGCCTGTGTATAATTAAAATTGCCTAAATTCAGTGGCCTTCCAATGCGGCAGTTCATCCAATGTTCTCGGCTTTCGAGCAAACTCTTTTGGGACGCAGCTGCTCAT